CGGAACAGGGTGAAAAACCGCGGTTTTTCCGCGACCGCGGCAGAACCGCGTCAGAGTGTACTCGCGGACAACTGAAGAATCAGAGGGCATGTTTGGCCGCGGTTCCACTTCGACCGCGGCAAAACCGCGGCAGGAAGCGAAAATTTCAGGGACTAAAGTGCAAAACATGGGATTTTAAGTCCTAAACCCTATATTAAACAAAGGAGGCCGGCCAAGAACAAGAGTGGGACATATTTTGGACACAAATTAGACCTAAGGAGGCGGAGAGACACTACTTTAGGGTTAGACAACACCCTTGGAGGCAAGAACACATTGGGAGCAAGGTGGAGAATTCTTCTACAAGTTTTTCCTTCCTCTTCCTATTTTTCATTGTTGGTTATGACTTTTAGTATTGTAGTTTTACATACTATTATGAATAGCTAATTTGTTATCTAGAGTTTTGATAGAACCTTTTGTAGGATAAATTCTTGTTATGTTTTTATATAATTGAGCCATAGCTTTTCTCTATTTGTTCAACTACGTTTATATTCTGGTTGATTGAAGAGCTCTCAATTAGCTGTGCCTATTTAGTATGCATAACTCGGGAGAGAGTGCATATTTAGGTAATTGTTGAACAACACCACTCCCAAAGTATATGAGGGATCAATAACCGAGGGTTTAAAGGTGGGATTAGGGATAACGAAGCCTTGGGTGCGATCTGAAGTGAGCTGTATTAAAAGCCAGCTAGCGTAGCTCGGGAGAGTGCGTCTAATAAATTGTTGTAATTACTCGGGAGAGATTTACGGTAATAAGAGTGCTCATGATCGGTAGAAAATACTTAGGCAAAATTATAGAAGACATAGCGGGAAGGATTCCGACAATTGGGGAAATCATAACTCTAGACCTCCTTAATCTTTTCTCTAACCCTCAGTATCGTTAGTTGTTAATTTACTATTTTAATATGTTAGTTAATTAGTTAAACAGAAGAATCTTAATATCTATAAGTTAGAAATTGTTCAAGCTTGTCTTCTTGGTGATAGTGAACAGCTGTAGCTAAACATTAGTTCCCTGTGGGATTCGACTCCGGACTTGTAAACCGGATTATATTTGCAACGACCGCATTGTCCTTTTTATAAGGCATAGTTGGGCGTGATCATCTACCAAATGGTAGGTAGGCTCCTCGGAATTTTCTGAACCTGATCGCCACTTGAGTATGGTTTACTAAAAGCTTTTAGATTGCTGATGATTTTGCTGAACCTTGCAAATATTTCCTCAATGGATTCTCCTTATCCGGAAGAGTTCATAGTCATGAACCAACATATTAATGTGAGTTTCTTTAACTTTGTTGGTTCCTTCATAAGTAACTTCCAATTTATCCTACATTTCTTTGGTTGTATCGCAACTTGAGATTTTCTCATATTCCTCTCAACTTATAGCATTATAGAGTAAATTTTGTGCTTTGGCATTGACCTGAACAACTGCCATCAGCTCGTCTGTGTACTCATCTATATCTTCTGGATCAACAGGTGGTTGAGCAGTTGCTGGTAGTAGATAGTTCCCTTTTTTAATAACGCGCCATACTTTTACATCATAGGTGTAACGATCCGGCCGGTCATTTTGACAGTTGTAGCCCCATTCCCCCATTTGTTGCTCATTTTGTACTTTACAGTTGTTATATGACTTACTGGGTAGGTTAGTTAAGTTTCGGAGAGATTTCGAAACGAATTGAGACACTTAGTTTCAAAGTTGGAAGCTTAAGTTGAAAAGGCTGACCACATATTCACTTATGTGTAAACGACTCTGGAATAGATTTTTGATGGTTTTGTTAGCTCCGTGTAGTAAATTTGGACTTAGAAGCGTGTCCGGATTGTGATTTGGAGGTCCGTAGTCCAATTAGGCTTGAAATGGTGAAAGTTGAAAATTTGGAAAGTTTGACCGGGAGTGGGCTTTTTGATATCGGGGTCGGATTGGAGTTACAGAAGTTGGAGAAGGTCCGTGGTGTCATTTGTGACTTGTGTTCAAAATTTGAGGTCAATCGAACGTGATTTGATAGGTTTCGGCATCGTTTATAGAAATTGGAAGTTCAAAGTTCATTAGGCTTGAATCTATGTGCGAGTTTTTTTGATGTTATTTGAGGTGATTTGAGGTCTCGACTAAGTTCGTATGATATTTTGGGACTTGTTGGTATGTTTGGTTGAGGTCCCGGGGGCCTCGGGTTGATTCCGGATGGTTAACGGATCAAAAGTTGAATTTGAGAAGTTGTTGAAGTTGGGGTTTGCTGGCGTAATCGCACCTACGGAGCTTGATTTGTAGGTGCGGGGTGAGGTTCGCATATGTGAAGTTTGGAGGGGGTGAGCAGGTGGTAGCAGGTGCGAAGGATTTTCCGCACCTGCGTGGCCGCAGATGCGGTGAAGGGAGCCCATGAGCGGAATTGAGGCTGAGAGCTGGGTCCGCAGAAGCAGCGTTAAAGCTCGCAGAAGCGAGTCCGCAGTAGCGGAAGATTGGGCCGCAGGTGCGGAGGAAACAGTAGAAGCCAGCGTTGTGTCGCTCCTGCGAAGCCGCAGAAGCGGGTAATTATCCGTAGAAGCGGAAGGACTGGGAAGAACATATGAATACAAGGGTTCACGATTATTCTTCATTTTTGACATTTCAAGCTCGGTCTAAGGCAATTTTTGAGAGGGTTTTTGAGGAGATTCTTGAGGTAAGTTCCTTGTGCTCGTTTTTGATCAATATTCGTGTTTCCCCATTGTCTTTCCTACCTAGATTGTATGGTTTTGAGGTGAAATTCGGGGGTTTGAGGCTAGGGATTTAGAGAGTTTGATTTGGGAATTTGAGTGACGATTTGCTGTCGGATTTTGATACAATTTGTATGGTTAGACTCGTGGTTGAATGAGCTTTTCGATTTTGTGACTTTTATCGAATTTTGAGACGTGGGGCCGGGGGCCGACTTTGAGTCGATTTTTGACTTTTGATTAATAACTTCGTATTTTCTTGTAGAATTGTTTCCTTTAGCCCGTGTTGATTGTATTGTACTGCTTGTGGTTAGATTCGAGACATTTGGAGGCCGATTTGCGAGGCAAAGGTGTGTTGGAGTAGAGATTTGCTCGAATTGAGGTAAGTAACAGTTCTAAATCTGATTCTAAGGGTATGAAACCCCGTATTATATGTCTTGTGATTAGTTTGGAGGTGATGCACATGCTAGGTGACGGGCGTGTGAGTGTACACCATAGGAATTATGAGTTGGTCTATTCCATGGAACTGTAAAATTGAATAACCTATTGTTAGCTATATGCTCTCCATGTGTTATAGAAATTTGACTACAAATCATGTTAGAAATCATGTTTAGGCTATATGTTGGTACTGTAGGGACCCACAGAGGCCATGTTACCTGTTGAATTATCTACTAATTGCTGGTTGTACCCAGTCACAGTTTTATTTGCATATCATATCTCAGTCTCTATTGTTCCTTGTTGATACATTATATCATTTCCATTTCGGGCTGATTTTTTTATGATTTCTGAGAGACCGAGTGACTAGAGAGGTTGATTATTGAGTGAGGCCGGGAGCCTCGGGAGCCTGATTGTGAGGATATTGACACTATAGCACGTGAGTTATTCGTGCAACACGTGAGTTGTCCCTGCGGATCCAGATATTTGACACTATAGCACGTGAGTTGTCCGTGCGGATCTAGATATTGATATTATAGTACGTGAGTTATCCGTGAAGCACGTGAATTGTCGTGCGGATTATAGCGCTTGGGCTGAAGGAGCCTCACGAAGTCTGTATACACCCCCAGTGAGCGCAGGTACCTATTGAGAGTGAGTGCCGAGTGCTGACCTATTGAGGAAAGACTGAGTGATTGTTTCTCTGAGAGGATGCTTTTGATTTCATTATTGTTGCACTTAGCTGCCATATATCACTATCGTGAAGTTTCTGAAAGATATTATATTCTTTTTTACTTGAACTCTATAACTAATTTGACCTAAAATTGCCAAACTTGAAAGCATGCCTACTTTCCTATGTTGAAATTGCTGAAACTGAACTATAATTGCAAAGCTCATCACTACTTTCAGTTCTTTATTTAGTCTTGTTACTTACTGAGTTGGTTGTACTCACGCTACACCCAGCACTTCTTGTGCAGATTCAGGTATTTTCGATCACGGCGGGTGTTGACTTCTTTTGCTCAATTGACCATTTGGAGATTTCGAGGTAGCTGCCCGGTGTTTCGCAGACCTTGTCTCTCATTCCCTATCTTCCCGTTTATTGTATTTAGTTTCAGACTATAGTAGACAGTATTTTATCCAAACTCGTGATGTATAGATGCTCATGTACTCTGTGACACCCCGATGTTGGCATTGGCGGATCCAGGATTTTAAGGTCGTGGGTGCTCACTTTCTTTTAATATAAAGGTGCTATCAATCACATAATATAAGCGCAATTTATTCGAACGGGGCGATGAAAAAAATTAATGAGAAAATACGACTACTATTGTCATTATCAAAAAATGACTTCTAGCCACGAGTCATGATAATAATGTTAATATGTTATCATTACAAAAAAAGGACTTCCCTAGTCACAACTCACAACTGTGCTCGACGACTTTTCATATGTTGAAAACGATGAATAATAGCGTCATTACTGACACTTGCAAATATCTTACGCTCTACATAGCAAACTAAAAAACTATTTAAAAATTCATCACCGATGCTGTTACGAAGTTCACTTTTGATATAGTTCATGGATGAGAAAGCTCGTTCCACAGAAGCTGTAGCAACAGGAAGAATGAGAGTCAACTTGATAAGCAAATAAACAAGTGGCCAAGTTTGATGCAGATCTGACTTAACCAACACTTTAGCAAGATCACTAATTCCCTTCAAGTCAAAGAACCTCTTGTCAACACCACGGGCATAAACTATAAAACTATCAAGCTGACAACTGAGATCTCGAAGCTTGCTGCTATCAAACTCATTCGGATAATATTCGGCCAACCTCATTATTCTGTTCTTATCAAAATTACCAAATTAATTAACGGGATTTAAGCTAGCCATACCGAGGAGTAAGTCCGTACTCACAACATCAAAGCGACGATCAAGCTCTTGAAAATGCAAATCTATAACAGCATAAAAAATGTCGACACGCAAATGATGAGAATATGTAACATCAAGAGCTCTACGCTTCAACTTCCCAGGAAAGTAGCGAGCGTCCATCTTTGGAATCATTATATAATTTTTATCACAAAAAGAAGAGACATCTTCCATTAAAGATCCAAATTCACTCTTCCTCATTGTTTGTAATCGTTGCTTTGTAAGAGCAAGGAGTCCCATAGCATTGACAATATCTTGATCCATCCTTTGTAACGCACAAATCAACTCATTTGTCATTGTTAAAACTTTTAACATCAAGTGCAACATAAAAGCAAAATCAAATTCCTTAATCTTACCCATAAGACTTCCAGCAACAATTCTGTCAGCATAGTTTGGACATTCACGTGCAGTAAATTCAAGAACATTAGTAATCGATGGAAATAGGACAATAAGGTTATCCAACGTCTTATAATGAGAACCCCAACGAGTATCACCTGGTCGTTGAAGCCCACGCTCTTGATTTAATCCTCGTCCAGTATGCACTTCACCTGATTTGAACAACTCTTCTAACTTTTCAGCTTGATGTTCTCAAAGCAAATCCCTACGCTTAAACGATGCTCCAACAATATTTAAGACATTAGTAAGTATATAAAAAAAGTCATCTACTTCTGAATGCTTCTTTGCAAGAACCACAAGAGCTAATTGCAATTGGTGAGCGAAACAATGAATGCAATATGCTGATGGAGACTCATTCAAAATCAAAGTCTTAACACCATTTAGCTCTCCCTGCATGTTACTAGCCCCATCATAACCTTGCTTACGTATTTGCGTTGGACTTAATGAGTGATCAGAAAGAAAAGAGCAGATTGCCTTTTTCAACGACATAGCCGATGTATTACTAACATGAACAATACCAACAAATCTCTCTATGACTTCGCCTTCTTTATTAACATATCTCGAAACAAGTGCCCTTTGCTCCTCGTGTGATATATCTTTTGATTCATCAACTAGTATCCCAAAAAATCCCCATCCAGATCTTCAATGATAGCTTTGATTGTTTCTTTAGCACAAGCATCAACAATATCTTTTTGAATACTTGGAGAACACATCATTTCATTCTTGGAGAATTTTCTAATATAATGCTTCCAACATCCCGATCAATATCCCCATACCATTGCAAAAGCTCAAGAAAAATACCTCTATTTGTAGAAGATTGACTCTCTTCATGCCCACGAAATGGAAAACCTAGTCTCAAAAGAAATCTTGCCACATCCATTGAAGCACTTAAGCGACATCGAGACTCACTTTTTTCTTTCTCGGATTGTTTTTCAAAAGAAGTGCGAATTGATGTGATTGATTCATTAAATCAAGCATCCTATTGAAACACTTGTTGTGGATGCTATTTACTTCTCCAACATGAGCTTTAAATCTTTCAATAGTCTTGTTCCAAGCTTTAAAGCCATTTTTTGTAAAAGCATCTCCTGTATTTCCATAACTTTCATGTTCATTTTTGAACAAATAACAACACAAACAATATGCAGCATCTTACTATACTCCAACCACTTAGAATGTTGACTCTTAAACCAACCAGGACAAAACTGACGCATTATCTTCCCAAACTTAGTTGTAGGAAAATCATGATTCGCAGGCTGACAAGGCTTTTTTTTGAATATAATGTCTTCTAACTTCATCACGTATATTAGGGCTGTATTCTGTAATAGGCTTTCTATCTCCCGAATCAGCGTTGAGAGATTCTAAATCAATATTAGAAAGAAATGTGTCCCTCTGGATTTCCGAAGCTATGGATGAAGCAATAGATGGATTAGTAGAACTAGAACTTGGTTACCCAACATTCGTTCTTGTGACAAACCTATCCATCTCAATTCACGCTTGATGAAATATTCCTACAGAATAAGATTCAATTTTATTCGATTTTACCTAAAATTCAATTATAATTCAACTAAATCCTATTGGGGAACTCATTCCCCTCTATAACAATACAAATAATAAAGTAATAACAACATATTTAACCACATTGCACCGGAAAATTGATCACACTTCTTTATCACTAAAAATATCAGAAATATTTATTCTTTCGGAAGATAAGATGAAAACTTACAAAATTTTGAAGCAGTGAGCCAATGAGGATATATTCATCAATCGCACAAACTGATGCTAATAACCTACATTTATCCCCAAATAAATCAGTTTTGAAATTAAGTCAGAAATGGAGATAAATTTATTTTTCATTTTTTGACAAGTAAGCATAACTATTGTTTATTTTCCACAAATAATTACAATCGGTGGGTGTATTCATAAATAAAAAAAATTACTGAATTTATTTTACAAAGCATATATAATAAGAATTGTAATTTGTAAAACCTAATATCTTCAATAGAATATTGCCATATATACCCAAAATCTCTAGCTTAAATCAAAATACCAAATCTTATTACCTTGTTCCTTGTGTTTTAATTTTGAGATGAGGAGGTCAAGAAAATTTGTTGTTCACTTTGTAACATGCGAATTGCGAAACCTACAAGAAGAACTGGAGAAGCCGAGGCCCGAGAGGAATTCTATTTTAATATTTTGGTTTGGTATCTTTTGAAAGCCTACCGATATTTTAACTAGTGGAGGATTCTTTTTCTCCTTTTCCTCATCTAATTAGTAAACAAGAGGAAATAAAAAAATGGGGAAAAAGAAAGTAAAAGAAGGTAAGTAATAAATAAGCAAACAAGGAAGTCAACGATTCATTTAATAAGGAAAAGTATTATTTTTTGGAAAACAAAAATGTTGCCAGCTAGATTCGATCTCGGGACGTTAAAGTATCCAAGCGCCCAAACTTCAGCCTCCAAACCAAATCACCCATTAGACTTTTTGGTTATTGGGTGCTTGCTAATATATTATATCAGTTTTCATAAAATTTCTATATTAGTATACCGAGTCCCCGTCGGAGTCAGTGGGTGCTGCAGCACCCAGAACCTTACAAGTGGGTCTGCCCCTGGATGTTGGGAGTTTCCGCGTTGTGTTTTGGTTTTCTACCCCGTTTATGAGAATTTTTGTTATTTAGAACCACTTTGATTCATTTTATGTTAAATGTTGGGAATATTTTGAAAATATCGGCTTGCCTAGTACCACGTTAGGCGCCATCAAGAGAGGTTAGGATTTTGCATATATTTTCATACGCACTTTCCAGTGAGAAAAGTGTTGTCCATTAAAATATGGTGGCCTAACTTGCGATGTTCCTTCTTGAAAGAGTGCTCCCACAATTACTTGAGTTGCCATGATCTTTTCTCACAAGCAGTTAAGCAAAAAGTGCGATACTAGCTCTGATACCAATTGAAAGTACATGGGGGGGGGGGGGGGGTTAGGGGAGGGGAGTGAATTGCTTATTTAAAAAATATATTGTAAGCAGTTGACTAGTTTACCAATTAGTGAACTAGAAATAGAAACAAGATAATAGTAGTGCAGAAATAAAGTGCAGGAATTAAAAACACCAGAATTTTATACTGGTTCGGATTCAATGTGAATCCTAGTCCAGTCCCCTTGGGTTGCAAGGGTGTTCTCTTTTAGTGATCGAAGTTTCTTGCGTACAGAATAGTTGATGTAGCTTTACAAAAACAGACTAATCTCTATGTCACTTTTCTCTTCTTGATACAATGCCTCACTGTCGCGCCTCCTTTTTCTCGCGAAATCGGGTTGTGACATTTCTGGGACAACTCTTTTTTGAGAGGGTAGGGAATTGGAATTGAAAGAGTCGCCACCTAACGAATTAAGGTGTGTTAGGGCACCTAGAGCAGATAACTCATGTTGTACTAGTTTACATCACCAGAGATCGGGTAAGGGCTCGAAATTACCTTGAGGGGAAGGTGTTAGGCACCCCTCGAGGTCCACAACGGTGGGTCCCGGTCGAACTTAACTTATGAATTAGTCTAATAAAGAAACGAGAGGAATATTTAATTGGGATGAGGGGTCCTAAATTTTTTAGCCTAAAGGATCACCCCGTGCAACATAAATAATACTTCGTAACTCCCGCGAGTTAAGGTGTTACTCATAGAATTCAGCGGGCACAAACTATCATCTTCTGCTACCCGATTACTATCTTTAAGTTGTTACCTAAAGCGCTCTAATTGATTCTAGTCCGATTCGTATGCGTGCACTACCCGTCCCTTACCTATGGCCCTGGAGGTATTAGGACCTCTATTTGGGATAGTTCTAGACTAAACCTAGGTTGCTCAAAATGTAAAAGTCTAGGCGACAAGTAAAAAAAATTAGGACTTTCAGATAGCAAGCAAATATAGGCTCATGTTGACCTCCACACATAAACAACAAAAGCATGCAACTGATTCAGCAAACCTTATTAACTTTAAAGTCCTATAGGTAGGATGTCTATACGAGAAACAGAGTGCAGAGGCAGTATTATCAAGGCGAGTGTTAAAACCTGTTGTTTGCCTACTGATTTTATTCAGCATGGTATGGGCAGTTCAGGCAGTAATAGATCACAATTATAATCCAAAATTATTAAGTCCTACAGGTATATTGCCTAAGTGATTGCCAAGGGCGAATGTATTCAGAATCAATTGATAGAATCCTATAGGCATGATTTCTACGAGTTTGATGATTACAAACATATAGACATGATTTCTAGGTGTAGTACTGACTTTAACTTACAGAGATTGGTTATATTCTCTTTTAATCCTCTAGGCATGACCTCTAATTGCTGTACTTAAGTTTTATAGGCATGATTTCTAGGTTTGAAACTGGTTTTAGTCCTATAGGCATGGTATCTACTATTGAATTGATTTAAATCCTATAGGCATGATTTCTAACTGATTTCTTCATATAGGCGTGATTGCTACGAGCCGTGTATGGGCAGACTTTATGCATATTTCCAGAAAATCGATCAAATCAAACATCGAGGTCCTATAGGCATGATTGCTAATGCACATTTGTTGGATTGATAGATCCTATGAGCAGGATTTCTAATATGCATTTTAATGCTAACTCTCTAGGAAGGACTTCTAATATGCAAACACAGAGTTAACACAATCAATGATATTCCTATAGGCAGGATTTCTAAGCACAATATAGAACTCATATGGTTTTTACCAAATGAACAGAATTGACAGTATAATTAAATCCTATAGGCAGGATTTCTACCCAGTTTACCAAAATGAAATAAGAAAACCCCCCAGCTTTACTAAATATCCCATAATCTGTTATTACAAAGTTATTACAGATCAGAATAGCAAAATTGCATAATAGTAATGAGACACTATAGGGAGCCTTCATTAGGCCCAAATAAACCTGGGAACCAGGCATTCCAACCATAACAACTCTGAGGCACAACATAGTGATTCATCCATAGCACATTAGAACCAGGTTTCCAGTGTGTCGAAGTTCCCAAGGGCCTCAGGCACCCAGAGCAACGCTCACACCAGAACCATACATTCAGAAGATAGCTCATAGGAGATTGGAAAACCAGTCTCCAATGTGTCAGAGTTCACAGGAGTCTCATGTGGACCCTGAGCAGTGCTCACACTGGAGTGCTTGATATCCTAAGGGACTAAGAGTGAGGGATTTAAAATCAGTACATAAAAGGAGGTAGGGGCAGGTTTAAAATAGTTTGATTTCAGAAGAAGCAAGGTTTAAAACACAGAGTTGCAGGCAGAACTGCACCAAACAAGGTTAAGCTCAAACACATAGTTCAAGTAAGTTAAAAGGTCTGGTTAAGCTAAACATTCATGCTAGTACCTAGGACAATCATTGTTTAATCACAGAAGCAATTAGGCAAAACAATTAAGTTGACTAGACACATACGAAAATCTGTAGAGTTAGGATTAATGAACCAATTTCATGCTAAAAGTATTATAGGGATACTAAGTTCAGAACAAGTGTAAGATTAGCAAATAGTGCATGAAACAAATTTAGACATTAGGCTAACTTATAAGAGGATTCATATCAGTGTTAACCATAAGATTAGAAGAGAGTCATAGGAGCATAAGAA